AAGCGTTTTCATGTATTGCGAACTTTCCACTGAAGTTTACAAAACCGCGACACGAATTTCGCTTCCTCAAGCGTTTTCATGTATTGCTTTCTATTATATAACGTAACACATGTTGCTGTTTTGTTAACTGTCATACATACATGAATGTATGAGAACGCCTGAGGAAGCTATTGTATAGCGAAACACATCTTGCGGTTTTGTGAGCTGTTCTGCGGAAATCTCAGAATGAAGTGTTACTTGAATAACATATTATTTCACGTGATCAGACAACCAAATAAGTCTAGTGTAGCTGACAACATCCTTTTAGACTCTTTTGAAAGTTCAGGAATCGAGATATGTGAAATGAGATCTATGAACAGCGATATAGTTCCCATACCAATCAGCTTGTTGTTCACTCTTGATAATTAGGAATTTAGATCTCAACACAATACTAGGAATTGCTTTGATGAGCCTAAGGTAATGTTGTATAAATAGGCCTAACATCAAAGCCAAATCAGTTAGTATCATCTCCTGAAGATGATAACCGAAGCGACGAAAGAAAATATTTTTGTTCTGGTGCTTTGAACTGGGAGAGGAACTAATTCAGATAATTGAGTTATTCTTGATTCCATATTCCAGAAGTTTCGAATCTACCTATCAAACAACATTCATTGTCATATATTCACTGACCAGTTAAAAAAACTTCAATACGTGTTTTATGATGAAATTACACATGGGCTGAAAAGTCCCGGGCCTAAGAAAGAAAACGCGTTCTATTTTTGTTCAAAATAGGCTTTATTCATCAACATTATCTCCATCAAGATCCACCAATAATTCCAGCGCCGCTCTAATATTTCAGTACTACTTTTGTAGAACGATTTATATTTTGCCTAAAAATAGGCCTTAGTTTCAGTAATAACCCCTTCATTCATGCGAAATTCATTGCAGGTGAGCATTTTTTGAGGTCTTCTAGGAATACAGTGGTTGCGGAAGCAATTCGAAGTCCAATTCACGCAATTTTGCCATTGTTTTGATTGACTTGTGACACGGTGCGTTGTCTTGATGAAACAAAATTTGTTTCTTTGCCATATACGGTCGTTTATTTGCAATTTTCCCCCTTCTCAAGATAGTCGATGAATATTACACCACGCACATCCCAAAATACTGAGGCCATAATCTTTCCAGCCCATTGTTGTACTTTTGGCTCTTTTGACGAGGTTTACCAGTTGCTCTCCGATCAGATGACGATCGTTTTGATTCGGGAGTGGCGTGATGAATCCATGTTTCATCCATTGTCACATATCAATGCGAAAATTCCGATTTCTTATGTTCAAACATGGCCAAATACTTCCATGGGTTGGGCTACCTATCAGTCGCGTCCCAAGGTGGCGGATAGGGGAACGGCCAGGGGACTGAAGGCCCTGTCCGGGAAGCCAATGTGGCCTTACGGACTGGGTCGCTGGACTCCTGTTCAGTGGCAGAAATAAGTAGGGTGAGGGGAACTAAAACCCCCCAAAAGCCTTTGCAAAACATGCCACCGTGGACCAGCCTACCCAAGCTAAAGTGTAAGGAATCGTGCCGACAACTGAATGGCCACAGGGTGATATGCGGTCACGAACGATCCCTTTGGAAAACTGGGCGAAACCTCATTGTGATCAGCCTAGCTCTGGTAATGCAGGGCTCTGTCAGAGGTGACCAACTCTTCTCTTGCTACTCGTGGGAACACACATGAATGAAACAACATAAACAACAAAAACAAAAACCAATCCCGAAGCTGGACAGAAGTGCTCACCTCAATCTGAAGCGGTGTCTGGGGATGAACAGAAATGTCCACCCCAATCTACCGCTTGTAATGAGGCTGGCCATAGCAGATCACCTCCAACAGCAAGGGTACTTCCTGCGGCGGGCGTCAAGACCTCCGCCTTGAATAAAGGCAAGGAACCGGCTGCCCCTGCAGGAAATCTCCCTCACTTGTGCACCTCCACGGAAGGAACCCCAAGAAGGTTGAAGAAACCGCGCAACGACAGTAATATCGCTGCACCTTCCAAAACTTTCGCGGAGGCCACCGTGAGACACCTCAAGGTTGCCAAAGAGAGTGTGTGTTCGGCCTGCACCTTCCAATATAAAGGAGATGTCTTCTAGTGACCTGTTCACCTTCCTGGAAAGGACAGGATGAACGATGACCTAGGAGGACAACTCCTCGAGAGGATGTACAATGGGTCACATGTGGCATAAGTGTTGTGAGTCTACACTCACCCTCCCTACTCTACAGATACCAGAGGATGGCCAAATACTGGCAGAATCATTAAAACTTTTTTGTTCTTTGGTCAACAGTGAGCTCGATCTCACTTTCCTTTTCGATCATTTAAAACGATTTTGTGGATTTTTTTATATTCTCTAGTGATACTGCCTCATTTGGATGTCCACTGCGTTCTGCATCTTGTCGCTACGACCACGTTTGGAGTCAGCAAACCAACGTTTAATTGTTGTTTTTGATGAAGAGGAGTCCTTATAACACCTTTCATGCCATAGCTTCGCTTGAACGGTATTTCTTCCCATCAAGAAGCAGTATTAAATTACAACACAAAGTTTTGAAAATAACAAAAGTAGTGTCACTCTTAGCGCAATAACTCACAAACTTATAAGTACAATATTATGAAATTTCAACAGCAATAATGAATGCAATAAGACTAGCACCATCTATGTGTTAGGTCCGAGGCTTTCCAGCCCAGGTAGTATATTCTACAATGATCATTTATATAGTGAAACATGTGTTGCGGTTTTTCAAACGGTGCAAATCTGTCAAATACATTATACTGCATTATCTTCAAATATCGTACATGTACCTACATGTTGAAGTCAATACCAGCTCATTTTTTGTATTTCCATTACTGATTGACTTCTGCAAGACGGTTTAACCTAGAATTGAATCATGAGAGCTGAAATGAGGACATGACAGTTTAGGTGTTTTTGAAATTCTGAAAGAACATGGGAAAATATCACTGGAAATATTGAGGTATTTTTGTTGTTGCTTCATTTATTTAAACATTAATGTTGTGTCACAGTAATTTAAGGTATTTGAACAGAGTAAGAATTCCTTCCATTCGAGTGAGTAAGCAGGGTGATAATGAAAAAAAAATACAATTCACTGATATTAAATTACTTAATCTACTAGGAATATTGAAGCCATTCTGGTTTATCCGTAATATATGAACTTTATTAAAAATTAACATGAAAAGACAGGTCCATATTTGAAAAGTGAGGGTGACCCAAGTCAAATGACACTCTGTATAAGAATTCCATGAATATATTCTGATAGCTGAATGTAAATTTATGTGACAAAGTGAAAATAGATTTTCAATATATCTGAAAACAAACAAGATAGAGCAAAAAAAATTTTACGAGACCCCTATGCATGGGTTCGAATTTGAATTGAGATAAATATCGACTGTCTAGTGTGATAAGAATTACTTAACTATGAAATCATGTATGTAAGTTAACATGAAGTTAAGGAGGTGAATCTTATGAGGTTAGGAAGAGTTCTATTTGTCACAAGCAACTTTGACAGCCTGATACACTAAAAGAATATTGAGCATTTGCTTCTCTAAGGAACTTTCAATTGAAAAAGATTTCTTTTAGGAATGTATGTCAGAAGTACGGGGCAAACTACCTATGCTACCTAGCCTTCAACGGTCAACTTTACATACTTCGAACATACACTTACATTTGGTGAACGGCGTTTTCAAAAATAAAATTGCCGTGTAGGGTTTTTCCAGAACTCATACCGAATAGAATAAAAAAAAACAAAAAATATAATATTTCTTTCTTTAATACAAAATATCTTTAAAATATTTTTTTTCTAGTACCCAGCCCATTAGTACCTATGCATGATAAAGAAAAATATTTAGTCCAATTCATATTGCTAGATGGTGCGGTATAGGGTCGAATGTCGAATACACTCACTCACTTTGGACCAAACCTAACCTGACCTAACATATTGCTGATGAAGTAGTAGAAATGGTTTGTCATATTTTTTAATCTTTACTGTGACCTGACATATGTATTTTCAACATAGTAAATTATGTAGTAACTTGTGTGAGTGTTACCTTAATATTATTTGGGGAAGTATATAATTTATTTTTGCATTATTTTTTAGTTCCCTAGGAACTAAAAAAATGAAATTAATCAAATGAGGAGGGCAAATTATTACGTTTGTGCGTTTGAATACAAATTCAAAATGGATTTATACAACCGGTCAGTAACCCTTTTCATTAATACACTTTGGGAATCAACTCAAAAATTGAAAACCATTGTATGAATATCAAATTCAAGATTTTTATAAATTGAATGGTACTTTTTCGTATACATAGTACATTAAATATTGATAATTTTACTTGGTATTAATGTTTCTCAGTTCAGCATCGTTTCTCAGAAGAATCCAAAAATCCCTAAAAAACAGTAAAAAAACGCGAAAAAATACCAGAATCTAGGACTTTTTAACCGTTGGCTCCTCTAACCAGGACATGTTTGATTTATGGAGTTTAAAAAGTTTTCATATCCTTGTTCGTTCTACCCAACAAATGTACAACAAAAGAATTTTTCATTTTACATTGATAAGTGATATATTGTTTCACTTTGCTTGCCTTAGCAATTCGATAAGGTTCATGCATAAATTCAAGGCCTCCACTTTTACCTTGTTAATTTTGTAATCCTATGAAATATGTTTCCGAGTATCTTTCATTAAAACAGATGAATAAGTCACTATTGAATATGTAGTAGTAAGTTTTAGGATTTTTTGTGAGAAATATAAAGGCATAAAAAGTACTCGTTTTTCTGTGTGTAAATACCTCACATGTGTTGTTACTGATAAATCTAATCTTTCGCTTCAAAATTTAAACCTGTTATCATGCACTTATCGAACCAATTAAGCAAAATCCATATTGTTTGTTTTACTAGCGTTCGAAAATAATCTCGCAGCAATAAATCCCAAGGTGAAACGAAATTGACAAAACTATACTCACCGTTCGACTTTCCCTGGCTATTTCTCTTCGCCTCGGTCTGCCAGTTGGTGTGCCTAACGATGACGTCATTATCCTGCACTAGAGTGGTAGTATCCGACGTCACGACACTCACTTGTTGATAATTGGGGGCGGGCTCCTGCGTTATCATCACAAGGCTCGTATAACGCGCTGCATGACGTGCCAAAGACTCGCCAGAAACTATCGCACCTGCTGGTACACCTCCGTGGTCGCGCGTATTTTGCGACTCCCCCCCTACGCTAACGGGTCCGCTAGACCGGATCTCGTTCCGTTCAGCGATCGCGACACAGTGGCCATCCTGCTCTGCTGCTTCCGATAGAGGAGTTTCCTCTTCGGCGATGGTGTCGCCCGTAAACAATCTGATTTGGTCCACGTCGCTGGAGTTCAGGGACTCCGCGCTGACGTCCGACAACCCTGGACTGGACGATATGTACTCGGATTCCTTGAGAGCCATCGGAGATTCCTTGTTTACCGATTCTATGCCGTCAGGTTCATTCTCACTATTTTTATCACTTGTTTCGTTATCACAGACTCTGACTTGGTTCATATCCTTATCGGCGTTATCAACAGGTGAATTTTCACCTGCGTTATTTACATTTGCATCGTTTTCCAGGTCGTTTTCGTCTAGTTGCTTGATGTTTGTTAGGATGACGGTGCAGTCCATCTCCGTATCGGTATCATCGTCCGAGGATTCCGAGTGGCTGCTGCAGCTGGACTCGTTGGAGGATGATGACAGGTTCTTATTGACGACAAAAACACGTGAGAACCTCTTGGGCTTCTGGTCGGCCACGGTTCCCGTGTCATCACTATCAGTGTCCGCGGAACCCGAGGATGACATGTCGTCCTCCCTGACAGAGCTGTCCTCTTCCTCGCTGGTGACGTTGCTGCTGGGCAAGGCGTCGTCGCTCTGCCTACCCTCGCCGCCGTTCACATTGTACACTCTTCGCACTCGCGGTTTGGAGTTCTCACTGGTGTCACTCGAGTCACTGGAATCCTTCGAAGCGTCGCTCGAAGAGAGGTATCGGTTCTCGCATTCCAGGTACCCCGTGAGTTCTTCTTCATCGATAACTACTGGTTTATCGGTTTCGTCCGGAGCGTCGCTCTCCTTTTCTTCGCCGGGTTCGGCCCCGCTTTTGCTGGCCGACGGGGAGTCACGGTCCGTGGCGATGGGCATCGTCGCACCGGTGCTCGCTTCGCAACTACTGATATCGTTGTGAAGAACCGACTGCGGACCGAGCTCACCTGCGGTTATCTTCGGCCAGATAAGGGCCGCCTGTGCTAGATACGGCCACAAGTTTCGCGGCAGCACTCGCAAACGCGAGCCTGTGCTCTGTTCTCCTCCGTACAAAAGCACCGTGTCCTGGGGGGTCCACGAGGCGGGTACGGGGAAGGGAATGGGCACCGGTACGGGTATGGGGATGTACTGGGTGGACGCTCCGCAATTGTGACAAGGCGCCCGCTGAGGAGCGTCGTCGGCGTGCAAGCATTGCAACGCGGCTGACTCCTCCGTCGGCCTTTCGATGCGGTGCTCGAAAGCTTCTTCGGAGGCGATTCGCGTCGGAAATAGACTGTCGGAGGATGCTGGTGAGCCACTGTCCAATCGGGTGTTGTCCTCGTCGGTGCCGGTATCGGATTCGCGGATTCGTCTGCAAAATAGTTCGGAAAGTTAGGAGCGGTGCAACAGTTGGTATTCGAAGCAAAGTTGGAAACTTGGGTCGATAATATTTTTTTTAAATGATTCATATTCTTACGGTTTCTCATAGGAAATATTTTCATACGATTTCTGATGGAAATGCATATTCAGATAATGGTTACGTCAAACTGAAACTCTTTGGAGTTGTATTCGTTCAGTAAATTACCGCAATGTCAAAACTTAAATGAAGAAAACTCATTACAGTACACTCATTATGAAATTTTGATAAATCGTCAGTTATTAAAATGGTTATTGAAATTTTCCAAATAGATTATTTATATTATTCAAGAACATTTTCAAACTCGGTTTTGTTAACAAGCGATTAATGTGAAAAACATTTCTTTTTTTTTCTGATAAATTATGAGTTTTTAAGAGAGACAATATTGGTGAAATATTAAGTTATTATTTAAAAATCATTCAGACATATCTTAAAAGAAAAGAGATGTTTCAGCACTTGAGTATTTGTTTCAATCAGAAGAGTGAAAATTTTGAACGGGTTTAACAAATGCAAACTATGATTTCTTTATTCAGCTTGCGATTTTTTATATTTCAACAACATGCTCGCAATAAATTTTGATTATGATATGAAAATATAAAAAGAGAAATGAACATTTCTATGTTTTTTCATTTCTCTTTTCATTATGATTTCCTACCACGTAGTAACGGCTTCATCCATCAATTTATATACAAATATGTTTCACAATTAAGAAAATTTAATATTTCACTTCTGCAAAATATTGCAACGCTCTCGTGAGATTTTTCGTTTTGAAATATTTACCTATGCATATAAGGTATTTCCACAGATACCTAACGGTTCGGAGTGCAACTTGTAGATCTATTTTTTACGTTTCATCCACCAGAAACATAATTATTTTATGTTAATACTAATGTTAGCTACGAAAGGTACCTCTTAATGAGAAAATAGTTAATATTTCCTAAACTAATGGTGCTCTGAACATAATCTGTGAAGATTTTTTATTTACATCTATAATTTGATATAAAATTAATTTCAGATAAAAACTATGAAATATTGAAAAATCCATTTTGATAAAAATAATTCTCATCAGCAGCGTAGCAAAACAATACATATTTCAAGCTCTATTTTCAAATGCGAGAATTCAGAAAAGAATGTGCAAAATTTTTCTAGAAAAATGTGTACATTTTTGGAAACTAGAACTAGTTTTGGGAACTAGAAGATTTGGTTTTTTATGATTTTCAGAAACATTTTTTTTTTATGTATTAGGTATACTTTGGCCTATATGACCTCAAATTTCCATAGATCCATGGATAATTAACAGTAAATGAAACTTCACTGATAGTGCCTTATTCGTGTTCACTACACTTAATTTTGAAAAATGAGAAATAATACTTTTTATCTTTTTTCACCACTTGTATTTGTAACTAACGTTACTGAAGTATTTTCGTCTTATGAAGACATTTTCAAACGAATACAAAAAATATCACCTATATTCTATGTTGATTGATACACACCGTACAAAATAACAACTTTGAAAAATATTTTCATCATCAGTTAAATAAAATTGCCAATACTTCAAAGGGATTGAAGGAACTGCTGATATTTTTTGTCAATAATCTATTTACAAATTCTTAGGATTGCGAGATGTCTTTTCAGGAAAAATTAGAATGAGTACATCAAACCCTTCTTCTTGAAAAATCATTCTTGTGTTTACACAGTAAATTTTCGGAATGAACAAAAAGTTACCTTCCAAAGCCTCAACGGAGTTTTCGCATTATTATTTATTATTATTTTAGACTGCAGAAGATGTAAATATCCATGAAAAGTCATAATAACACCTACGAGGTCTGTTCAAATAATAAGATGAATTTTCATTTTTCCCAAAAATATTTATTCATTCATCAATTTATATTTTGCCCCATTCAAAGTAGTCCCTCAGATATAATACAGTTGCCAATCCTCGAAGCACTTCTGATATGCACTTTTTGATATGTCCTTGATGTCTCTAAGCGATTCGATTTTTATCTTCTCAATCGTCGCGAAATCCCTTCCTTTCATGAGTTTCCTCAATCTTGACAACAGTAAAAAAAATCGCAGATTACCAAATCTGGTGAATACGGTGGCTGAGGCATGATTACGGTGTTGTTTTTGGCCAAAAAATTACCAATAACCAATAATGACTCGTTCGATTGATGGCTTATTCATTTCGTAGAAATTCATGTTGAATATAGATTATAGAAAATACTTTTGTCTAGTTTCTACTGTGTTTATTTATTCGTTACGACAGGTTTCGGCTTATAAGGCCATTTTCAAGAAACTCAAAATGTTACTTGAAAATGGCTTTATGAGCCGAAACCGATCGTAACAAATAAATAAACACAGTAGAAACTAGACAAAAGTATTTTCTTTATTCTATAACCAATGATGACTAAGCAGGTGCTTTATCGTGATACAAACTTAATAAATCGTTTTCCACAATATCACAATACCTTTTCTTCGTATTTCTTATCGCAAGCAGCGCATAACTTCAAGATACTACTCCTTATTGACCATACGACCATGTGGCAAGAACTCATGACGCACTACGTCACGGTAATCGAAGAAAACATTGAGCAAAACCTTGATATTTGATCGAAGTTGGTATACTGGATTCTTCTATTGGAACGATTGGACTTTGTTTTCGATGTTTCAACCATATACCCATGATTCGTCACCAATTATGATCCTTTCAAACAAATTTGGATCACCGTTGCAATTTTAGAAAGATCTTCGCATGCCCAAAATTTATGAAAAAAATTGCATGGCATGAGTCAACCGATATGCTGACATCCACAGCAACTTCTCTGATAGTGATTCAACGATTCTATTTAACACTTTTATTCACTTTCTCAACATTTTCATTGGTTGTTGATGTGCTGGAGCGTCCAGGACGAGCGTCGTCACTCACGTCTTCTAAACCTTCTGTGAAAAGCGTGTACCACTTGTAAACATTTTTCTGACTCGGAGTACAATCACCGTATGCCACTGTCAACATTTCAAGTATTTTTGAGCACCCAATTCCATATTTTACACAAAATTTGATGCAAATTCTTTGATAAATTTTTTTTCGATAGATGAAAATCGACGAACACCAAGTACTTCTAACTTTTATGCCTGTCACCAACAAACTAAACATGTTGAACAGCTGAAACTGTGAACATATGTTCGAAACGAGTGTGCCAACATACAATAAAATCGATAATCGAATGTACGTAGCCGGCGAAATTTGAAGATTAACCTTATTTTATGAACAGACCCCGTATACTTTCTAGTTGATTCAAAATTCAGGTACCAGAAAAAAAAACAATTCAGGTACCAGAAACAAAAATAAAAAATGATTGAGATACCTACAATTAGTGTTGTGTATACTATTTTCGAAAGTCTATGTTTATTCAGGTCGTTAGATTACCTTATCTCTCTTGAATTCACCTGTAAATAATAGTTACCTGCCTTTGTAGTTCTGGAAATATTATTCAGAAACGAAGGATACCAAAAGGTCATCACACTAGCGAGGCTTACTATCTCAGTTAGTTATAGACAACAAATGTTAAGAAAATTAGTATTCTGACCAGATAAACAATAAATTTTTATTTACATCAGGTCTTTGTTCCAGTTACACTTGTTTTGCTAGTGTGTTCCCTCTAATATCATTATTTCATTCAATTGAAATGTCAACAAAATAGAATCATTCACTGATTCAAGAGAAATATTTTTGCTGGCAAATGTGAATCAATAGCGACAAGATATGATCTAATAAATGCAATTATTCAATATTTACTGTCATTTCATGGTGTTTACAAAATTCAGTTTACTTGTGATATCTACATAATATAGAGACTAATATTACCGAATTAAATTTTTAATGAATCTGTCTGGGAATTCTCACCTTTCATAATCTTACAAAATACAAATTTCAATGGAGAATTTTATACAGGAGTAGGAAGGGCAGACTTCTTATTTGCCACGTCAAGTCTTTCACGTTATTTATAACTTATCCTATTTTATAATTTTCCCAATAAAAAAATGCGAAGTATTGCACACTTAACTATTTGGAGGTCAAAATCTATCTATATCTTCAGAAAACTGAAAAAATCAACTATAACATTTATTTTTCATTTCGATTTATATTCAACTTCCACGACAGGTGTCAAATGAGTTTTGTAATGTGAAATATGTCAATGTTGTTGATTGAATAATCTATAGAAAAATCCACTGCCACAAAAAATGAATTTGGTTCAATATATTGAATTTTAACAATATTTTCAGGAATCTGCTTGTAATTTTATAAAAACTCTGACTTGAATGTATTTAATTTTCAAATTGAGGATTTATAGAAAGTATTGCTGTAGAAATAGAAATTTTCGCTTTTGAAAAATTACTCCGTCACTATTGATTTGTTTTATTTCTTCATTTCGATTAAAAAATGTTTATCGAATGTGTTAGTAAAGACAAAAAAGTATTTCACTTACTACCATAACAAGCTGAACAAATGATATAGAGAGAAAATCTTTCCTAGATTGAGGATGTGCGGTACAACGCAAATACCACTGAAGATGTCTACCGCAGTAGTAAAAGAAACGTTTATTACTTCAGGTTCCATTCGATGATAGCCTTCCAACCCGGATTTTGTTCTCTTTAATCGTGACACCGGCCGTGAAAGCTTATGTTTTCATATTAAACAATATAGACCTTATATGTCTTGATGAATTTATATGTTCATAAGAAATGGAATGATTTTTTACAAAAAAATTATTGAACAGATCCTTCCTCAAAACAGGAGAAAGGTTTTCAATAGATTAACCAATCAATTGGTTATGGCCCGTTGTTTAAAGACTAAGAACAATTGATCGAAGTAAGTAATCTGGCTCAGAATACTCTTCAATTCCTGTATTTGCTGAGGAAATTTTTTATAAATCGATTCTTCGGTGAATTGGTAG